TTGGTGATGGATCTAGCCCAATAACTCACAGACAAATTCTCTTTCACAATTGAATTCCTTTATTGCAGGCCTAGATGAATCCTAGGCCTTGCAGAGCCAGAGATCACTGACCTTAGACCTTTCTCTTTCAGGTACACATCTGGAATGACTAGAATACCTCGTGGTGAGAGCTATTATATCCAGGAGGAGGGACCAGAAGGTAAGGAGTGGCTATGGGACTGATGGGATATGTGGTTAGTTAACCCCTACAGAGCCATATGTCCAAGGTGGCAATACAGTTAGGCATTTACCATGACATATTCCAACTCCTACTCTTACTCCTTGTGAATATTGCTGGAGAAAATTATCTTCCCCACCGCTTCAGGCTGTTTTATTTCCACACATGAACACATCTTCCTTCCTTCCTTCCTTCCTTCCTTCTTTCCTTCCTTCCTTCCTTCCTTCCTTCCTTTATTCCTCCTTCCTTCCTTCCTTCCTTCCTTCCTTCCTTCCTTCCTTCCTTCCTTCCTTCCTTCCTTCCTTCCTTCCTTCCTTCCTTCCTTCCTTCCCAGAAAAATAGGTCCTTCCATTTTCTGGGCAATCTGCTGTCTCACAGACTTCCACCACTTTTTCAAGGCCAGAGCTAAGTTCCTCTACATATTACTATTTTACCACTGATTGCTTAGGAAACTCACTCTGCATCCTAGAAAAACAAGCTTCTGGTTATTGCAGCCATCTCCCTCCCTCCCTCCCTCTCTCTCTCTCTCTCTCTCTCTCTCTCTCTCTCTCTCTCTCTCTCTCTCTCTCTCTCTCTCTCTCTTTTTATTGAAAAAGTTTTACAAATACAAATTTTTCCCCCTTCTCCCCCTTCCCCTCCCTAGCCCTCCCTTACCCTCCCCTCCCCCTATGGCTTCCGCAGGATGAAATCCAAATCCAAATCATATTATATAATACTTTACCGCCCATCTACTCTACCCCCTGTGTGGTATACATTTCTTCCTGACATTCTAGTATACTATCCCCTGTAAACTATACATTTCTACACAACATTCAACTAAAAAATTATCTGGTACTTCCTAGTTTAGTATTTATTCTGCACAGAATCTATCCATGTCCTCCACTCCCTTACATAGATCTCTTGTGTCCTGTCTTTTATATATGCTGATAACTTCACCATTTCTGCGAAACTGGCCACCTTCAGAGTCCATTCTTCAATAATAAACATAACATCCCTTTTCCAGTGTTGAACAATCAGTAACCTAGCCTATCACCATATACCATATCAATTTTGTTTCACCCACTTTCCCGCAGGTCCGCCATATATAATAATTTATAAAATCTAAACAATCACATCAAGTCCTTCTTCCAACAGTGTATTTAGTGTCTTTAGTTGTCATCTGCCCACATCATTGAAAAGTACTTTTATATATAACCCCCCCCCGAGTGACTTTATATTTATATTCCATATAATATCTTCTATAAAGTCTTTCATCTAGATTATTAATTCCATCGACCATGTTAGGGTAACAACCAGATCAACTGCAACTGCCCTTGTTCCGTAGTCTTCTTGCCTCATGACTATTCCCTTCAACGTACACATAATCCATCTTTCTTAAAATCTATAATAGAAAGTTCCAATTCACTCAATTACAGGCCTTCTCCACATCCTAGAACACCAGCACTGCAGGGATCTGTTTATTCTTCTCAAGATAGTCCAATAAATCTATAATTTGCCTCACATTGTCTTTCATATATCTGCCTTCTATAAATCCTGCTTAAACATGAATCAGTTCTTGGATAACTGGCATTGATCTGTTGGCTAATAACTTTACAAAATTTTTTTAATCCATATTCAAAAGAGATATTGGTCTAAAATTTTCTAGTTTTGTAGAACCTGCTTCTTTTCTTGCCTTGTGCTGCTTTAAGCCTCTGCTGTTGTTGTTTTTCTGGAATTTGTTTGTGTGCTGTCTCTCTCTCTTTTTTTATAAACCTTTATTAATATTTAAAATTCAAAAATACAAGTTAAAATACATCTATAACAAAAATACATCCTTAATAATTTTACAATTCAGCATCTTTCTGACAGTACGTAATTCTTAACTTTGTTAATCTATTCCCACATATTCCTACTTAATTGACATATTTAAACACATATTATATCTTATTTTATTCTATACATTCCTTATTTTTAATTTCTATCCATTGATACCAATTTTCCCAAGTTAAGTAGTATTCCAAGTCTTCCTTATTATTTAATTCTAAAGTAAATTTGTCCATTTCTGCACATTCGAAAATTTTCCGGATTACTACACAGTCTGCTGCTATAGTGGACATTTTCCAGGCTTGCACAAGTACAATTCTTGCTGCAGTAGTTACATGAATGATTAAATATTTAATACTTTTAGGATAATTTCCTTTAATAATCCCCAGAAGAAACAGTTCAGGTTTAAATACGGAAATACGTAAGATCTCCGACCTCCGGGTGTTTCGCTGCGCTCTGAAGACCCTGTTGTTCCGCCAGGCCGGGCTATTAACATAACGTTTTAAATTGGGGTATTTTAAATTTCTGGGATTTTAATTGGAGCCTAATTATTTAATGATTTTAAATTTTAATTGTTGTTCTGTTTTTGTGTTTTTAAATAGGCTGTACACCGCCCTGAGTCCTTCGGGAGAAGGGCGGTATAGAAATAAAATAATAATAATAATAATAATAATAATAATAATAATAATAATAATAATAATAATAATAATAATAATAATAATAATAATAATAATAATAATAATAATAAAATTCTATTTTACAGTGTGTAATTTCTTTTAGCCATTTTTGTATTTTAATCCAGAATTTTTAAACTTCTGGGCAAAGCCACCATACATGGAAGTAGGTACTTTGTACTTGATTGCATTTCCAGCAATTAGGTTTTAGGTTGGGGTATATTTTTGTGAGTCTTATTGGGGCTAAATACCACCGATAGAACATTTTATACTGGTTTTCTTTATATGCGGCAGATTTTGTTAATGTATAGTTTTTCTCTCAAATTTTTCCCAATCTTCTAACTCAATGTTGTGCCCAATATTTTTTGCCCATGCTATCATTGATCCCTTTACAATTTCTTCTTCTAAATCAAAATTTAATAAATAATTATATATTTTAGATAATAATTTCTCTTCCGGGCCTGTTAATAATTTATCTAATTGTGTAAATTTTGGTTCAAATCCAAATTCCTCCAAATCTTTTTTGTATCTAGATTGCAATTGAAGATACGGCCACCAATCTATGATTACTTCCTGTTCCTTTAATTCTTGTTAGATTTTAATCTTCCTCCATTGTCTAAAATTTCGTTGTATTTTACCATTTTACCAATATCTAATGTGTTGGGGTAGATCATTGCCTCCATAGTGGATAACCAGCCTAGTATTTTGAGATAATGTTTCTTCCTAATTCCCTCCCAAGTCTGTATCAGTGAATCTCGTAGTGTATGTCTATAGAAATACGAATGTGAATGTTTCTTATTTCTGGTGTTCCATATGAAGGCATGCCACCCCATCTGGAGATTATGTCCTTCAAGTGTTAAAATTCTCCTATTCTTTAAATTAATTCATTCCCTAACCCAAACCAAACTCACTGCTTTGTAATAAGTTTCCCACTCAGGGAGTCCAAAGCCACTACTGCTTCTTCTATCTTGAAGTTAGATTAATTTTATCCTCGCCTTTTTTCCTGCCCATACAAACTTCATAATCATTTTGTTTAACTCTTTAAAGAAATTCTTATCTAATTTTATAGAAATCGTTTGGAATAAATAGAGAAGTTTTGGCAAAATATTCATTTTAATTGTTGCGATTTTCCCTAATAGTGACAACTGCAATTTCCCCCATGTTTCTAAGTCTTTCCCTATTTGTTGTATTAATTTCGTATAATTAACCTTTTTTAATGCTGAATATCATGCTCTTAACCAAATACCTAAATATTTCACTTTTTTTACGGTTTGAAGTCCCATTCTTTCCTCGAGTACTCCTATTTGTTTTTCTGTTAAATTCTTAACTAACATTTTAGTTTTTTCTTTGTTAATTTTAAGGCCTGCGACCCCCCTCCCCTATATTTCTCTATCTCTTGCAGTAGTATTGGTCCAGATTCCAATAGGTCTTCTATAACAAATACCATATCATTTGCAAATGCCTGCACTTTAAATTCTTCCTGTTTAATTTTGGTTCCTTTTATTTCTGTTTTCTGTCTAATTCTCTGTAATAATATCTCAAGGGTCAGGATAAAGAGCAGAGGTGACAGAGGACAATCCTGTCTAACTCCTTTTGTTATCTTAAATGAATTTGTAATGATTGTAATGGTGGTCATTTTTCTTATAATTTTATGCTGCTCACCTAAAATTTTATATATATTCTCCCAAATTACCATCCAGTTTTATTAATCTAGTTTGTATTTATATATATTATACTTTTCTGTAAATTAGGCTAATTCCCTTCTAATCAATATAATTCTATCTCTATAAATCAATATCAATTTTACTATTATATGCCAATAAGTAGATTAGTTGATAATAAAAATAGTAAAGATAATATAGATAATAAATATTAAATATTGGATATTAAGTACAATAAATACATATATAGAATAAATACAATAAATACTCTTTAATCTAATTGAAAAGATCAAGTTATTAACAAGTATAGTTGATAAAGTTAATAAAGTTAATAAATACATTCAATACAGTTGGTATTGGGTACAAGAAATATGATTATATTTTTATATAACTGTCACCACAACTCTATATTGACTATTTCCTAAGTTCCTTAAATAGATATATTTTTTGTCAGAGTGATTAAATATTTATATGTTTCTAAAAACTAAATCTTTGATCTATAGCCAGCTCTAAGAATACTAAGTAATATTATAAACATATAGATATGGGGGGAATATTAAGCTATAAAAATTGAAAAGAGTGCAAAGAAAAAGAAAGGAAAGGGGTATTTGAATGTTTTAATATTATTAATCCCATTATATTTACCGTTGCATCAACTTCCGTCTTATGATGTCAGTCTCTCTCTGTCTTCACAGTCCCTCTCTCGCAACATTTCCTTCTCGACTGCAAGCCTTTCGTTTCTCCATTGGAGCGCAAGTTTCTGAAGTTCAAAATCCAAAACACAGTTCTTTATTTGCAGTTCTTATTTATCTCACAGAGTGAAACTCTGCTTCCTTTGCCTTTTAACTGTTTATTGTTCTCTTCTGCTCACTATACTGTTCCCGATGCCAGAATGCCGCCAATTGTTCAAAATCGTCTTTCTCTATTGGAGACTCACTCTGTATCTTTAATCGCTCCTCTGGCTGCTTCTTCACCGATCTTCCAAACTCGGCTAAATCCACTGCTCGCATTATGCCTGCTGTACTGTCTTCTCTCCTCGCTTCCCTTTTCTTTGGCCGGTGCGTCATGCCTTCAGGTCTGCCATTAAGGCAGGCTTCTTCCAGGTTGAGTTGGAGGTTCTTTTCCTAGCGCTGCAGGAAACTGCACCTTTCCTCGCTGCCTCTGAGACTTCCTCCTTCTATTGTTTGTCCCTCCAGGACAAAACTTCGCCTCCCACGGCCCCCGATCGCTAGAAATCCAGCACAGGGAACGGAGCCTTTGTTCCTCTAAACCGCCACAGCACGACGTCTCCACCGGAAGTCCATGGCAGCCATATCTAATCTAATGCCCTCTCTTAAACTTCCAGAATAGTCAGTCAAAATGAGTGCACAGCTGGCATATACTTTCCCTGTACACGCATCAAGCAACAGAAAACCTGACCCAAGCTAAATATTTATACATCATAAATACTACAGAAACTGAGCCCACTGACTATTTAGCCTACCAGGAAGATCTTTCTTTGTATCTCAGATGGTTTGAGGCAGGGGTGAAATGTAAAATTTATTACTACTGGTTCTGTGGGCATGGCTTGGTGTAGGGGGGTGGTTAATGTGACTGGGTGGGCATGGCCACCTTTTTTTTTTTTAACTTTTCAAAGCATTTTTTCTAATGCTTTGAAAAGCCTCTGCCGATCAGGCAACTCAGCTGGGATTGTCAGAGACTTTTCAAAGCATTTTTTTTACCACCTCTTTGGCCAAGAGGTTGCAGAAAAAATGCTTTGAAAAGCCTCTGACGATCCCAGCTGAGCCGCGCGATCATCAGAGGCTTTTTAAAAAAAATTTTAAAAGCATTTTTTTGTCGGAAGAGGTTGTAGAAAAAATGCTTTTAAAAGTAAAAAAAAAAGCCTCTGATGATCGTGCGGCTCGGCTGGGCATGGTGGGGGATGGGGTGCAGGGATTTTTGCTACCAGTTCTCTGAATCACCCGCCACCATTGCTACCGGATCAGGTGATCCGGTCTGAACCGGGAGCATTTCACCCCTGGTTTGAGGCTAAAGTAAATCTTTTTATGAGCATGATTGACTCAACATGCTGAATGCTCTTTTGAACTAAAAAGTGAAAGGCAGAGGACAACATCAGCCTGCTGGTAAATAATCTCAATGTTTGCACAAGTATTTTAAAATATCCAGATCCCCACATTCAAGAACTCAAGGGCTTTTCTTATATTATTCTGTTTTATGGCACAACGTATCTGCTCCCCATTTATTTTGTATAACTTTTTTTATATTTCAAGAAAAAAATAAAATGCAAAATAACAACAAAAAAGAGGGAGGAGAATTTAAAAAGTGAAAAGATTAAAAAAGGAGAAATGAGAGAGATGGGTAGACTATTGTGGGAAGTTTTATATCAAAATATATTTTATCCTTTATACTGTCTCCATCTTCCCCTTCATCATTAGCAGAATCCACAGTGGGCCAAGCATCAGCATCTCCACTAGATAATTCTCTCAAACTTTGGTTCTAGAGATAGTAACAAATTTTTCAAGTAGAAATTCCATCTCTAAGAATATAGGGTGTTTGTTTTTCAACACATTAAATACCATCCTCTAGTGGCCAAAAAGAATAATCACGGTTTATGATTTCTCAGTGAAAGTAAAGGGGAAGGTCAGACATAGAGAGCTCTTCCAATATTTGTTGTTAAATCCAAACAAATCAGCACCAAGCTAAGTAAAAAAAACAGATAAATATTCACACAAAATGTTAGATATTAACAGTCTAAGTTTTCCCTCTGGTCCGCTGTTTGGGCGGGAAGAATACTCGAATATGATTGGTTGGCTTCCCTGACAGCCCTCTATAAAAGGGCTGGGTGTCAGAGAGGCTGGCTGCTGGATTGTAAATAGTTGCTGAATAAAGAGCTGTTGCAAAATTTCCTGGGCTTGCTCAATTTCTATAGTGTCTCCTTAAAAAATAAGGCCACATTGCTGAACCACTCCACAAACTACTAGCCAAGAAGAGCCTTTGGGTCTGGGGGCACAAAGAAGCTGCCACTTTTGCTGCGGTTAAGCGCCTCCTTTCTGCTGACAGTTTTTTAATTCAGTACAATGACACTGTGCTGTTGGTACTGGTTTGTGACGCCTCTCCTTTTGGTGTGGGGGCTGTGCTTAACCACCATCTCCCTTGTTAAGGATATTGTTGTGTTACCAACCAGCAGAGTAAGTGCACAGAGAAACGGTACTGAGAGCAATGAATACAATACATACAAACTGGTTTAACAAAGCTTTTACTTTGTAGTAAAAAACAATTGCATAGTCTTTTAGTCAATCCAAGTCTTTAGCCATTCAAATCAATCTGAAGTTACTGATATCTTCTTACCAGACAAACAGCAGTAATTCATGCAGGTAACAAATCACGATGGTAGCATATCCATCCACGTCTTCACACATGACAGTAACAGTTCCAATCAACAGTTTCAGTCAAGCAGCAAGTCAAGCAATGATGAGAGCAGGTCCAACAATGACTATAGCTCGACTTCCTTCTTATATACAGTTTACACTAGTAATTATCCACTTAAGATAAGTGAAGTCAGCAGTGCAATGACTCAACAGTACAATTATGATAATTGCAGTCAGCATTCAGTCAGCAGTCATTAGTCATTACAATGACTCAGCAGTACAATTACCCAGCATTACATCTGTTACAGTATTACATAAAGTTACAGAATACATTTAAAGTGATAGAACACATATATTGCCTGAACAACTTGTTAGACTTATACCATATCCTAACATTCTCCCCTTTGGACAGGCTAATATATCCTTATTCAAATTCTTAAGCCATAGCTTTTGCAACATATTTTATGTTTAATTGCACCCTGCACTTTGGTGAAATTATCAGCAACATTGTTTTCAGACATACAATATTCTAACTGAACCATATTACTTTGAATACTCTGATGAATGTTCAAATAACAAATATCAGTATATTTTGATCTTGTCTTAACTGCTAAATTTGTTGCCATTTTTATAGCAGATTGGTTATCCTCATAAATTACAATAGGATAATCTACCTTTAATCCTACATCAATCATTAATTGTTTGTAGTAAATTAAATCAGTACATACTAGTGACAAGCATGAAAACTCTGCTTCCATAGTGGATAAACTAATATGTTTCTGCCTTATTGACTTCCATCCTATTAAACAATTACCTAACATTATCGCAATACCTGATGTAGACTTCCTGGTGGTCAAATCAGTAGCGAAACTAGCATCAGCATATGCACTCAGTGTAAAATCACAGTTAGGTTCTAAATATAATGCATAATGCATTGTCATCTTTAAATATCTCAATATCCGCTTTGCGGCTTGCCAATGCCTATCTGTTGGCTCTGCATTATACCTTGTTAATTGGTTTACGCTATATGAAATATCAGGTCTCGACCAATTGCTAATATACGATAGACTCCCTATCAGCGATTGATAGATCTCCTTACTAAATCCAGGACTTTGGATTTCTTCATGTTGAAAATCCTGTGCCATAGGCATTTTAGCTGGCTTATATAGCTCCATGCTATAGCGCTTCAACATATGACTAATTTTGCTAGCTTGTGACAGTTTATACCTTCTAGCAGTTTGAACAATATCAAGACCTAAATAGTGTCTAATATGTCCCAAATTTCTAATTTTGAATCTCTCTTGTAACTGTCTAACAATATCCATTGCTTTGTTGTCAGTTTTACAATAGCAAAAATGATACTAAACCATTATTCTCTCAGACATTTATCTGCTACATCTTCCTGAAAACCAATATTATTCAGCTCTTTCACTATACATTGGTTCCATTCAAACCCTGATTGTTTTCAACCGTAAAGGCTTTTATTTAATTTCCAACAATCAGTTTGCTCGTTTATTTTCACTCCTAACAGTTTCCTCATATAAATGGTATGTCTTAATGGAGCATGCAAGTATGCCGTCTCCACATCTATATGATTAATAATATACTTATTCTTTGCTGTCCACACTAGCATAGTTCTTAACATGGTAGTTCTTAAACTTGGAGCAAACACCTCATCAAAATCTTTCTCTGTTTGAGTGAAACCTTGAGCTACAAGGCGAGCTTTATGGGTTACTGTCCCATCTATACTTTTCTTTACTTTATACGCCCATCTACAACCAATCAATTTCTCTCCAGGTGGCAAGTTCACATCCTCATAAACACCCAATTTAGTTAATGAGTTTATTTCTCTACTCATTGTATCCTTCCAAGCATTTTGCTCTTTTTCAGAATACATCCTGATATCTTCATAACTTGAAGGTTCTATATTAACCTGACAAACTACCGTTGCTTTATACCTATCAGGTGGATGTCTTTCCCTACTGGATCTCCTAGGCAATACAGGATTCATTGCAGATGATTCAATTTCATCCTCCCCTAAAGCGACCTCCTCTTCTTCAACCTTAATAGAAGAATCTATATTATCTATATCCTCATCAGGTGTATTGTTATTCATTTGATGCTCAATGCTAACATTGTTGTCATCCTGTCTATAATCTGCACGTTCAAGTTTCTCCCATCCTTCGTGCTCTAGAAATTTTGCATTTGCACTACAGTAAACACTAGTAGTTCCCTGTGCCCAAAATCTAAAAGACCTATGGTTTGAATCATAGCCTATGAAAAACATTTTTCTGGCTCTTTGTTGTTCCTTCCTTCTCACATTTGATGGAATATGTACCCAAGCTGGGGCTCCAAATGTGTGTAAGTAACTAAGATTTGGTTTCCTCCCATG